CCTGAGCCGGTGAGATTTGAACAGCCGAACTGCAGAACTGCAGTCAGCTGAAGTAGCCTGCAGTGCTGCATTTAACCACTGCGCCACCTCCAGAACAGCTGGAGTCTGTTCCCAGTGTGCGTATGCTCAGAGCTGCCAGGAGAAGGGAACAGCTAAAGAACAAGGGTCAGCTCAGGAGTAAAGCCATAAGAGGACGGTGAATGGCCCCTCCCATAGGGAATAAAGAGGAGTGAAAAGGTAGGGGAGTTGCAGGAGACAATTAGTTCAATTCATTAAGGTGAAGATCTGCTCCTGATTTCATGCCAAGTATTGTCTGCTACAGATTGACGGTTGAAAGATATCGTCCTGGCAGCTCTCCAAGCCTGATAAACGTCTGTAGTTGTGAAATCTCTTGAAAGACTGTTGACCTGGACTTTGCTGGAGAGGAATTCACTTCAAACTAAATAAAAGGGGTTTTATCGGGACGGGGAGTCGGCTTCGTGCTTTTGGGAACTCTAAGAACAAATTGGTTGAACAATCACACCAAGTGCCCCATAGGTCAAATATGAAGGTCGTGAGTGGCATATTGCTGGCTTTGGAGCTGTTCAATATATTTACCAATGACCTGGGTCAAAAACTATGATTGTCAGATTTGCAGAGAACATCGGAGATGGGGATGGGGAGTAGCATCTTAGAAAAAAATGTGAAGATTAGAAAGAAGTTAAGACAGAAACAAGCAGCACTGCAGCAGTAAGAAATGCATGGTCCTGCATCTTGGATAGGAAAAATCAAAGATGGAAGAGACCACAATGAGCAGTAGGATGTGACAACAGGACCTGTTGCAACAGATCACACACACAAAGAGCGGCATGTTGCCATTGCAAAGAAAGTCCATAGAGTTCTAGGCTGCATCAGCAGAAGTATAGACTCAATCTGAACAAAACTCCTTGTTTATCTTTATTCTCCATTGGTCAGACTAGACCGAGAAAAGTGCATCAGTTCTAAGCCCTGCATTTTTTGGAAGAACATTAATAAACAGATCTTAAAGGAAATTCTTACAAAGAAGAGGCGAATAAACTGTCAGAACACTTATAGTTTCCAACAGTGTATTGTTTTTGTTTAAAACCTACAAAGAAGATTTGGAGACATTTATCCATTGTTACAGTCTCAAACCCTCCCAGCTTCAATCTCAAACTGTCTAACCGTGGACCTCACCCCATTTTTAAGAGCTCCGTAAAGGGGGCGTGAATAAGTGAACCAGCGTGCCTACCGTCCCCGTCTTACGCTCCCCATTTATCTGTATTTACTTCCCACATTCAGGTTTATGTTTATACCTATACTTGTTACCTTGTACATGTTTGACAAACAGTGAGTATGTTTAAGGTGGAGAGGAGATGCCTGCAGGGACGTATCCTAGCGATCTTAAGAATCTGAAGGGCTGTCAGACAGAGCATGAGC